GGGCGGAGATAGAACGAAATAGAGAGCGGTGCCACTTACTTAATTTACTCTACTTTAGATCCAGTTTAAGCCAATGCCAATGCCTATGTTTGTATTACGGGAGTGCACACATGATAAAAATAGGTGACGTATAGCTAAAAACTTTTATTGATCGGCCCTTGGGCACCCCCCCTCCTACATACTATAGCTCTGCCCCTGGTCACCGGCCTGGCCTCTTCGCGCGCTGCACTTGCCGCCACCGATAAGCCCGCAGGCAGCGTGCCTATCTGCTTGCTTCTAGTCCGTGCATGAGGTGCCTCGGCGCACCGTGAACCCTGAGCTGGGAGAGGGGAGGAGCAATGTGTGTCCTTGCTGTTGTTGTCATCACCGCCATGGCCGTGCGATACAAAGGTGGAGGCAAAGGGGAGGAGGAGGGCAAGGTGTTGGAATCGCGCTTCGCAGGAGAGTTGTCTGAGTTGGCAAGGAGCTTTGAGGTGGCGGTGGCATTCCTCTTCCTCGCCCTTCCATCAAGCTGCTCACTAGCCTCCTCCACCACCGCCATCGAGCACGCCGCACGTTGTGCCGCTGCACGCGGTGACCGTGCTGCTATCCAACTAGCCGTCGCTCCTCAGGGACGCCTGAGTGGCAGGGCTTGAGTAGCCGCACCCGCTCTAGTGCCGCATGCTCAACCTCTGCTTCATCGTGGCCCTCGATCGCCTCCTGACATGCACGGAGCACCAGCATTACCACGGCCGCCGCTCTCCAACGCGCTCGCCGCCGCGCTCAAGCGAGCGCGTACACACATCACTGCCGCATCGGCAGCGTCGAGGCAAATAACCACCGCGTCGGCTTCGAGGCGAAGAGGGAGAAGAGAGAAGAGGGATGTGTTGCTTGCATGTGAGGCCAAGCGGCTCAACCTCACAGTTCGCACATCGACGTCGGTTCTGGTTTGCCCCCGCCCCCCCCCCTTTATCGCCCTCCTTACCGACATGGACGCCCTCCCTGTCCAAGTGAAGAGAGAGTGGTGAAGAGTGAAGAGGCCCTTACATGTGGGGCCCATGCTGATTCAACACTGTTGACTCGGGTCAAATTGCCACAATATACAAAACCACCCGCTATATTGCCATGGAACTAATATTGCACCGGCTTTGATAGTTGAGGGATCCATTCTATCTATTATTGCGGTTCAAGTACAACAATCGAACTCGTACCCAAGGGATCTAAAATGAACTTATTCCTCTTCAATTTTGTCACATTGCTTTTAAGTAAAAAAAATGAAAATTTATAAGGGTTAATAAACCAATGCATAGGTCCGAAGGCCCAGATGTTCTAAGCACAGATCCACCCTGGGCCAGCCAGTGTGACATGTGATGTTGGAGCCCCACTATACTTTTGATGGGTCTAAAACTTTCTCTAGCATCGAGGCATCCGAGCAAATTAGGCTCTTCCTTTGCAAAGCTAATTCTCGGCCCAATATAAAAACGATCAAATCTCTGCCCTGTTTGGGGTAAACTTTAAAGGGGCCCAAATGGAGATGGTCACACGCATCTTCTCTTTTCCTTTTTCCAAATCGATTTTAAAGTCAAGAAAATCTTCCGTTTTAAAATCTGGAGCCACAATTCGGGCTGCCATCGTAATCATATTCATAGCCTTTTTACATCTTTTCCTCTCTTTTTTTTTTCTCCTATCGAAGAACACGTAGAGCAGGTACTATTAGCCAGCTATAAACATATTTTAATAAGATAAAATATGAGAGAGAAGAGAAGCGGGTTACAGATATGTAGCCAGCTGCAGCGCGGACTCCAAGACACGATATGTGTATAACAGGTGGGAGCATATATTAATAGTATAGTAAGCAACTATTATATGAATTGTTTATTGGATTGGCTATAAATGAATTGGAGCTGATAATAGGCTATACTATTAAACTTGCTCGTATACCGCTCGTGCTTTTCGTAGCTTTCAGTGCCACGCATCATATGCTATAGCATTGCAGTATGGCAGGCACACACAAAATCATATCAAATCATGGGCATCTAGGCAACAACGGCCGTGTGTCACGTGCCCCTCACGTTGGCGGTGGCCATCGACGAGGAAAAGAAGGCCATGTATTCCGTTCCTACTTGGGCCGGGGAGGAGGAAAAAAAGGTCACATGAATACGGCCACAAAAGACGCACATATAGCCGTAGCTTCCTCTTGTCTCTACCCTACAACTTTGGAAAAGCGCTTTGGAGATGTTGGCTGCGTTCAAAGATAGAAAAAGATTTATTGTGAAAAAGAAATCTGCGCACACGCTTCTTAAACTGCTAAACGGTACATTTTTCACAAAAATATTCTACAGAAAAGTTGTTTAAAAAATTATATTAATATATTTTTAAGTTAAAAATAATTAATACTCAATTGATCATGTGTTAAAGACTAGTCTTATTTTACGTATCTTCTCAATCTTCTATTGTCTCCTCTCAAACACAGTTATAGTGGATGCATTGACACCCAAAAACTAGAAAAAAAAACAAAGGAAGAAAAGAACTGATCTCACGTACTCAAAACCACCGGCGCCATCCTGGGACAAATTAAGTCCGTGTGCTGTTGGTAATGTCGTACTAGTAGTAATGAACTCTACTCGAGCCAAGAATGAACGTAGCACGAATCTTTGGCTGCAGCAACGGTCAAGGGAAAAACTTCTGCATAAATCATGGACGGAATCCAAGCACTGTCAGGCTAGGTTCAGGTGATGTTTAATTTCAGCACGACCAACTAAACAGATCATGTCTCGTCGTGTAGCTAGCTCATGTGCGTTTAATTAAGTGCCCATAGTCAATAAGCAGACATGCACGAGCTTTGAGTGGATTTAATCTCCTCTTTAACTCTTCTTGCTCTGAATTTGCTGATGAACGGGAGAAGCGGCAAACTGCTAAAGCCCACAGGATTATATGGCCCTCGTGTGGGGGTCAAAACGGAGGGATTAGGAACCAAAGATGCCTGGATTTTTCACATTTTGGTCCTTTTGAAAAACTTATTTCGCAAGTAGACCCCTAGAAAAACTTATCCCAAAAATGGTTCTTTTTGGGGCACCAGAGTGGCTGGCGCCGTTGTTCAACAGGACGGCGCCAGCCTCTTTGGCGCCGTCCCCCTGCCGACGTGGCGGGGCGATGCTGAGGTGGCTAGGGGGAATGCGCCAGAGTGGCTGGCGCCCCCCCCCCCCCCCCGAAATTTTTTATTTTTGTTTTATTTGTTTGATATTTTTTTCACGCTTAGGGACACACAAGAACCAACCATAGAAAAATTGAACTCAAATGAACGTAATATGTGACATGTAGAATTTTTCCTCTCCTCTCCTCTCTCCGGACTAGTGCAGAGGAGAGAGATGTGCAACTTTTTTATTTTTATTTTATTTTTTTGATATTTTTTTTCACACTTAGGAACTCACAGAAACCAACCATGTAAAAAATAAACTCAAACGGACGAAATATGTGGCATATGGAATTTTCCAAAGCTCCACCGAAAAACTTCTCTCCTCGAAAACACAATCTTGCAAGCGGAATTTGGAGGTTTTAATATCACCGAACCCGGCAAAGCGGGGGAGAATCGGATGTAACTTTTTCTGTAGATGTCCGTGCATATATTATTTGCCTGATTCCGAGTCCGTATGAAAAAGTTATACCTATTTTAATAGATGACATATTTTGTCTATTTCGGTAGAGTTTTGGAAAATTCTACATGTCACATATTTTGTCCGTTTGAGTTTATTTTTTATACGGTTGGTTCCTATGTTCTCCTAAGTGTGAAAAAAATATCAAAAAATGAAATAAAAATAAAAAAATTACATCTCTATGTACTGTTTAACTTATATGTCATTTTATGTGGTTATATTTTAAATTAGATTAAGTAATTTCATATAGTGGTAGAGTGCATTATGTTTAACATGCTGATCAAAGGGTTTTACTAAAAGAGTTATGGTCTAATTTTATTGAAGGTGCAAAGTAGACTAAGTGGTATGCTAGATATTTTCAGACTTAGCTAAGTGGTAGTTTGAGTTTAAATTTTTTTTGTGGTTGGTTGTATCGTGATCCTGAGTGTGAAAAAACATCCGAAAAAATAAAATAAAAATGACACTGTTGCAACTCTATATAGGGAAACAGGAATGGAGGCGGCGGCACCAGCCATGCTGGCGCCCTCCTCCTGCCACGTCGGTTCGCGTGTGCCACGGTGGCAGGAGGACGGCGCCAGAGAGGCTGGCGACGTCCCATTGGATGACGGCGCCAGCCACTCTGGCGCCCCAAAAAGGACCATTTCTGGGATAAGTTTTTTCAGGGGTCTATTTGCGAAATAAGTTTTTCAAAAGGACCAAAATGTGAAAAATCCAGCCAAAGATGCCCTCGTTTTTCAAGTGGGATTGAACTGTCGTGATCGCAAGGGAATATTGGTATTATATTCCAGGGGTCTTATTCATGTGATTTTGCATCTTTTGCATTAGCAGTGTAATAACTTAGTACTAAACAACCTATGATATCCATAGGTCCAGAACACAGATGAGCAAAATGATAATGTAAACCTAATTAACAAGCTTACGCATGCAATTACATGGATCAACACCGATCATGCAGCCACAATAATAGAGTTCTTACTTAGCAGTGACGATCAAATATTGACTAAGTAGGTATCTGCCCAAGCATGGTTTAATTAGTAGCAGTAGAATAAAATTTTCACCTCTGGTTTTTATAATCCACCAGAGCAGGACATGGTTTTGAGTCCCACAGTATCACAACCCCCTCTCGTTGATACTAACTAACATGGTGATGACGCACTCATATCTGATGAAGCCACCTACACCATTTGTCCTATTCTGCACCGTCTAAAAAGAACGCACAAACTTTTTTTTTTCAGATAGCAGGTAATTCAGAGAAACTTGCTGATTATTCCACGTCATACAACAACCCATTTTCCAAGTAGTACAAGTCTCCATGTCATAGGAGTGTACATAAAGGGTGATGCAAGCCCAGGATGAAGTGTGTGCCTCCTTTTCTCTTCTTCAGTTTTCAACTCAAATAATTAAATGCTGAAGAGAGCTATCATCAATAGGAAGCAAGGAAGAAGTATTCAAGAATTCAAGAGTTGGAGGCTCAAAGAGACATTGGCCTCTGCCTTTTCTTGCCCCTTTTAGTGGCCTTTGTGGGGCTCTCTCTTTGATGCTTTCTTCTCTTTAGCTATCACCCATCCATCTATCTAGGAACATAATCTTTAAAATCCTCAATTTCCTTCTTGCATCAATTCTCTGTATTTTACTCTTTTTTTTAAAAGAAAAATAAAACTAGTTTTCCTTCTTGCACCAATTCCTCTTGTTTCTTTTCAAAAAAGTTTTTTTTTGCTTGTTGAACCAATTCTTTGTTTCTTTCAAGAAAAAAAACAATTTTCCTTGTTGAACCAAATCTCCTCTTTTTTTTTTCTTTGTTTGACCAAAAATTGGTATATTTGGCATATATACCCCATGGGGCCATCCCCAGTGCCACAAGGGCCCTGGTGGTCATGGGGAATTGGGGAGCAGTGCAAATGGTGGCTTGAGAGGATGGAAGACGGCGAGAAGAGCAATGGAGGAGAAGACGGCGGCCTGAGATTCTCCCTCCAGTTTGATCCCGGCAAGCTCGGCCTTGACCGTGCCCTGCTCGGCCTCCCTGTCTCCGCTCTGCTCGGCCATCTCCTCGGTTGGAGCAGCCAGGGGGCGTCCATGGCGGTGGCGGAGGGTGGCGGCGAGGGCGAGACGGCGGCGGGCGTCGCCGCCCTCGCCTCAGCTTTCGCCGTCTACCTCGTCGCGACGTACGCGTCCGATCACCGGCGGCAGCCGCAGCAGCCTCGCCGTCCTCTCCGGCTGCGGAAGCGTGACCTGTCGCCGCTGAATTCTTGTAAGGTTTCGTTTCTTGGATTTTTCTTTTCTAGCTTGCTCTTGTGGTGTTTGGTTTGTTTTGTGATGATGATTTTTTGTTTTGTCTGTAGCAGCTAGGCCTCGTGCTCTGCCTACACCGGATGATGGTCTCCGGATTCTTTCGTCGAATGTAAGTTGCGATCTTACGAATTTCATCAGTTCTTGATCAGTGGAAATTTTTCCTGAATTTTCGGAAGGAATGAATTTGAGGTGTGATTGATTCTTCGGTGTGAAAGGAGGAATGTTTGGAGACCGTGATTCACGGCGCGTCCGTCGGAGCCGGGGACGACGAGCCGGAGATCGTGGCGAGAGTCGTGATGCCTCCCGCCGCTGACGACGACATGGCCGCCGGAGCAAACGCCGGCGGTGGCGGCGGCGGCGGCGACCGATCGGAGAAGAAAGAGCGGGAGGAGGAGGAGGATGAGGAGGTGGAGAGGCTGAAGGAGCTCTGGCTGTCGCTCATGGAGCGGGAGCAGCGGCTGCAGCTGCGGCAGGCGGAGCTCGACGAGCTCCGGGAGCAGGACGCCACGGCGCGTGAGCTCGATCGCCGCGCCGCCGCCGCAGCCGCCGTGGAGGCGCGGATGCTGGAGCTGAAGGCCGCCTCGCTGCGGGAGGAGAACCGTCGCCTGGAGGAGGCGCGGGCGTCGGAGCTCGACGCCGTCCGCGGCAAGCTGGCGCGCGCCAGGGAGAAGCTGGCAGAGCTCAGGGCGCGCGTGGAGCGCGAGCGGGAGGAGGCCGCGCGCGAGGCGGCGGCGCTCCGTGCCAGGGCGAGCGCGCTGGAGAGGAGCGGCGCGGAGAGGGAGGTCGCCGCGGCGGCGGAGGCCGCGGCGCTCCGGGACAGGGTGGCCGGGATGGAGAAGGACGGCGCCGAGAGGGAGGGCGCCCTGGCAGCGGAGGCGGAGGCGGCGCGGCGGAGGATGGCGGAGCTGGAGAAGAACGTCGAGGAGAGGGAGGCGGCGATGGCGGCGGAGGCGGCGGCGCTGCGGGCGGCGAACGCCGGGCTGGAGGAGGAGAACATGGAGCTCGCGCTGAGGCTGCAGGAGGCAGAGCAGACAGCCTCCACGGTTAATCTCGTTATCGAGGTAACTGAACTCCTCTTGTTTTTATTTTTACATTTTTTTTTACTCTGATGCAATCTCTCTCAATTTTTTTTTTTTTGCATTTAGGATTGATATATTTTTCTTGTGTAGAATTATGTCTTGGAATGTTAATGATGATGAGTGTTTACAGCTTTTGACAAGTGATGAAAATAATAATAAACCAACTAAAAGATATATTATTTGAAGAACAAGTAAATGCAATAATTTAGTTATCTGGATATTTTTTTATGATTGAAAATATAGCTCTTGACTTATGAATGGTTTGAAGTAATAATTTAAATTATTAAGCGTAAGTTATTATTATAATCTAGATTATTAGAAGTAGGCTGAAATAAACAGATAGTTTTATAATAGATTACTACAATCTATAAACCATATTAGTATAATATGGTAATCCACTTTAAAGGAATATTTTTAGATTATTAGGTGGCTAACAGCTAACAAACAGCTAATAATTCAAAGAAAAAAATTAGCTAACAACTTATAATCCAGTTTATAGTAATCTGGCTCAATAATCTAGGTTATAATAATTTTAAGCTGAAACAAATACAGTCTTACTTGTTTATGACTTTTGCAATTTTGTGGCAAAATGGCCTTCGTCGTCTCCTTTTGGTTTGGAATAAAAGTAGGGGCTGAAAATTGTGCCAAGTATTCCTTTGATAATGTCACTATCACAGCTTTAATTTAACTCAAAGGTTGTAAGGTTGTTTTAGCGAATTAGCCTTCGACATCCTTGATGCTAAGGTCATCGACTCATGGTTAGAGCTTAGAACCTTCAGCGATTGAATTATTGCTTGTTACTAACTTATTCAGACAATAGCGTGACACAATTAAACAACAAGGTAAGCGATTAGTTTATGTTATGGTTTTTTAATTTGGTTACTATAATTTGGTTACTATACCAAACATATCAGTCCTTCAATTGGTTGGTAGGCAAAAAAAATTGGCATACCAAATTATTTGGCTTAGTTGAATTAGGCCCATATATGGAAACACATTTTGGCAGTAACCAAACAAGAATCTAGCTATTTTTTACCAAAATAATTGGTAGTAACTACTAATTCTTGCCATTGCTAAAATTTTGGTAAGGATAAGATTAGCAAAGTATCAACATGCCCTATGATCCAAGCAGGAACATTTAGTCATCTACTCTTGTAAGAAGCAAATTTGATTCTTTCACCCAACCTCTTTTTTTTTTAACTATCCTGGATTTCCGTTTGTTAAATCAATCAGATTGTTTTATTTTCATTTTTTTTTCTATTCTGAATTTGTGTTGCTTAGCTAAATGGGATTATTGTTTTCTTCCTGATTTCATTTATTAATGCTATGCTCAAACTGATAATCCCCAAGATAAATACTTGATGTTTATGATAAAATTTGATTAAAACTTTATTTTTATATTAAAAGATAAGTATTAACTCAATAAGTGTAATGGTAAGGTCAACCAACGTATATAATTTATTTTGTTTAAAAACTAAGCATGAGTATTATTTCTCGGATTTTTTTTAAGCAATATCGAATCTTGTCTTAAACATTGGAGGAAGTATATTGCAAATGCCAGATCATATATTTCAAGTTGTAAAATCTTTTGGAAAACCGCCTAAAAAAATAAACCCCATCTTTTCGCCTACATTATTAGATTACAAGCTGTAGCATTAATTAGCGACTGAAAAACCAATACCGAAAATAAACTACAGTAAAAAACATCAAAATCAACCGTAAAATAAGATTTGAAATTTAATTGTTAGATGTGGTTGATAAGGTGAAGAGCAAACGATGGAGCTCCTTGTTATGATTTTCATGAATTCCTTGTTACCATTTGACGAGGTACCTCAAGCTAGCTTGCCTTTTTTTCCTAATAAGAAAATACGAGTAACTCTAGAGAGAAAAAAAAAGGTAATTCTAGTTTATTGGTAAAAAAAATATAGAACTGGTGCCACTGTTGGGGAAAAAAACAACGCAAATATGCCACCTTTTAGAACAAATAGAACATCCGCGCTCTGCAAACTTTTGGGACCTCATCTTTTCGCATATGCTTATGCTTATCAGCCAATTACTTTTCATTTACAAATATGTCGTTTCCCTTGCTACACACACAATTTTTCCAAGAACTTGGTGATACACTGCCTTTTGCAACTGTCAATTTCAAGCCAAACTCTCCAACAAAACACCAGTATGGCCTCTCTAAAATAGACTCTCTAAACATCCATATGGCCAGCTATCCATCATTTGATTTAGCAAGTCAAAGTCGTTGCTCGCTCCAACAGCCTCTCTATCTACCCTCTATTACAAGTCTATTACAAATGAGACCCATTTGTCAATCTCTACTACCCTTCTTCCTCCTCTTCCACCCCCATTTTCCCCACCCATACTACTGCCGACCTCCTCCCCACACCCTCTCCGATGCAACGACGGCGGATGGCGGTGCAATAAGCGGCGGCGGCGGGGAGGCGGGCTGCAGCGAGCGGAGGCGGCGGGGGCGGTGGACTGCGGCGGTGGCGGCTGCGGCGAGCGGAGGCGGCGCCGCGCCGGTGGGCTGCTGCGAGCGGAGGCAGTTGGCTGCGGTGGCGACTGCGGCGAGCAGAGGCGGCGGGTGCAGCAAGCGGAGGCGGGCTACGGCGAGCGAAGGCCGGCGGCTGCGGCGAGGGGAGGCGGGGACTCTCCCCTCCTCCTCCTCCTCCTACCACTCGCCTCCGCCACCGCGTCCTCTACGAATCTCGCGCCGACATGCCGCCCCCGATCCACCTCTCCGCGGCGGCCCTCTCGCGGCCGGCGAAGTGCCGAGAGCTGAGGCGGTAGTGCCGGATGTGGCCGGCCGGGAGCGAAGGCGGCAACGCTTCTGCCGGGGGAGCAGCGCAAGAGGGATGGGGATGAAGGCGGCGCCGGCGGGAGCGGTGCGGGCGGCAGAGGACGACTGGAGCGCGGCGCGGGGATGGAGGCGGCCACATCCTGCGAGAGCCCGCCGCTTCTCGGCCCAGCGTCCTGCTGCGGTGGCCGTCTCTCATCGGAGCTCTGCTCGTCGGTGCCCGCGCGCCGCACCATTGAAGTCAAAGAGAGAGGAGAGATTGGGGTGGGGGGAGCAATGTGGGGCCCACCACTAGCAACTGGTTTGGCTAGGCAGGCAGGATGGCCAAATTTAGCTAGCTAAGGAGCCAATTTGGCCAGCTAGATGGCTTGGCCAGCTGGATAGAGTCTGTTAGAGTGCTTTTTCCTCCTAAATTTGCTAGAATGTCATCTAGCCATTCTCTCTTGGAGATGCTCTAAAATAGTACTCAATCATGGCTATCCTTTTAAAATGACACCAAAGCTCATGTCTTTTTTTCTTCTTTTTTTTTCACGTAGGAGGACGTGGTTAAGGAGGCAAAATACCTGAGAGAGACCAACGAGAGGCTGACGCGGCAGATCGAGCAGCTGCACGCCGACCACTGCGCCCACGTCGAGGAGCTCGTCTACCTCAAGTGGGTCAACGCCTGCCTCCGCTACGAGCTGCGCACCCACGACGGCGACGACGGCGCCGGCCGGATTTCGGCGAGGGACCTGAGCAAGAGCATGAGCTTCCGGTCCAGCGAGAAGGCCAAGGAGCTCATGCTCAAGTACGGCACCCATGGCCTCGACGGCTTCGACCCCTCCATCTTCTCCCCGCTCCACGAGTCCGTCTACGGCGACGGCGACGGCGACGACTTCGAGCAGCGAAGACCGAACGGCGACGTCGTCGTCGACGAGGCGCCGCGGAGCCCGAGCACGGCGGTGGCGATGGCCGCCGCAGCTGCGGGGGCCGAGTCGCCGTCGAGACGTGGCAACAAGCTCAAGTTCTTGGGGAACATCAAGAAGCTGCTCCCGACCAGCAAGAAGGGGCACGGCCGCGGCGACCGGAGGAGCAGCAGGAAGCAGTCGGCGGCGGCGGAGGCGGAGCCACCGCGGGACGAGCACCTGGAGAAGGCGCTGCAGTGGCTGTCCAGCCACGACGTGCTGGACGACGACGACTCGTACGAGAGCACGCCGCTGTCGTCGTGCGAGCGGACGCCGCTGAGCAGCGTCACGACGGCGGGCTCCACGCACGCCCGCAGCACCGGCGGCGCCGCCGGCGAGACGGCCGCCGCGGCCGCGTCGAGGCTGCTGGAGGCGGAGACGGCGCGGGCGAGGAGCGACGTCGGCGCGTCGTCGTACGGGCGGGAGGCGCCGAGCCGGTACCACGCGCTCCGGCCTTACCACCCCGGCGCCGGCGCAGGCAATGTCGGCGGCGACGGGCCCCGCGCGTCGCCGGAGAAGCGGGAGCTGAGGCGGCGGTCGGAGGAGCTGAGAAGCCCCGCGTCGATGTTCGCGGGTGCAAGGGATAATCGCATGCATCAGCTGCAGAGCAATGCTTAATTAACCACTACTACTATTACTGAAGTATTTACAGATTAACAGAAACCTGCTGCATATGCGAGATGGGATATAATGCAAGTTTTTTTTTCTTTTTCCCCTGCTTGTGTTTATGCGTGTACGAACTGGTAATTAATACTGGATGTTAGAAGGGTTTGTGACTTTTGATCTTGGATTGGTGAAGAAAATGATGCGTTAGGATTTGGTCTACCTAAGTAGTATTTCTCAGCACACATCCAACTCTAAATAAATCGACCAATTTTCCCATAAATTAATTATTTGTGGACAAACGTATAGTAAAATCGTTAGGGATTTAGGATTGGAGAGGGCAATGGACAAGTTTGGATTGGTAAATTTGGTATGGATGAATGCCTGAAATCCACCGGCCCACCAGAACTGGCCCATCATTAAGTTTCCACAGCCTGTAATATTAAGTGGGCCGGTGGAAAGGTAAACAGAAACGGTACCTCTCCAATTAGTCTTGATCAGAGACATCCACGTGCTAGTACTTTAGAAGTTTTAGTTGCTATTAATCCATTGAGCAAGTAGGGGAAATATTCCTATCATCTATGCTTGAAATAAAATTTTCTCTTAAATTACTCATCCAATTTATAATCCGATTACACCGTTGTGTTTGTAGTTACGTCCCTCAAGTAAGCATCGACTTTCAATATTAGCATGCAAGTGTGTCCTGTAGCAATACGGTTTCAATACTTCCAATATTAGAGCAGCTAAAACCGGTTTCGATACTGCCTTTTTAGTTTAACTATATTTACGTTGTTTCTATAAAGATGAGGCATACATTATATCTGGTTTTACGCCTAGGCGATACAATTAAAATTAACTCAACTACTTATGTACGACCCAAACCCAACACCCACCTGCGTGGGCTACCGGGTGGCGAAAACCCTAGCCACCACTTGCCCAAAACACCCCCACCCCTGGCCTCGCCGCCACCAGAGCTAGCCATCAGCAAGTCGTGTGGCAACTGACAAGCTAGGAAGGCGGTGGCGTTGGAGCAACACCCTAGGGCGGCAATGGCCAGTGCGGCGCGGTCGGCGATGCGCGACAGGCCATGCGTGGCAGGAGGCTTGCGGGAAGTCGACACGGTGGTAGGAATAGTGCAGCGCGGGCGACGGCCAACCACAGTTGGTTGGCGTGGCACAGTTGATGGTGGCTTCTATTTTCAACAGGCGACCTCGACACATAGGGTAGATAGATATGGGCGAGAGCCGAGCCTCTTCAGGTCAGCAATGGCGACGCTTGTAGCCGCGGCTTTCCCCTCGAGGTATTGTTGAGTGATCTTCCCTGCCTTACCTGATGGATTTCTTTAGGTGAAAACTATGTTGTAACTACCCAGGGAGGGCAATGGTGTCACTTTCGGTGCTATATCCTTCCTGAAGGCGCCGTTTAGAAGATTCATTCCCTTAGGCATATCGTGTTCATGTTTCTTCAATAGCGGGATCTAGTTATAGGCGCACGTTGTGATTGTTTTTTTTCCCTGGCTATAGCTTCCTAAAACCGTAGACTTGTAAAATTTTTATTGTTGTATCAAATGTTGTACTGTCATGTGTGGGTTGTTTAAAAAAAACGACTAGGTGAGAGAGGAAGTACCAAGGTAAACAAGAGTTCGTCGACCCGCTGGCATGGGCCTGACAAAGTAACCGACGAACGATGGCAAGGAGCCCAAATTAGGCCTACAATTCTTGGGCCGATCCATAACCTGGACTTAGCTTTCTAATTTAATCCAGCACGACTTGATCATTCACCATCATCATGTTAAGGGTCGTCCATTGTTTGCCCCTGAGCTGAGAAGTTCAGAAATGAAAAAGGGAAATGTAGGTTGGTTGTGAGATGATGAGTTCTTCAGACCTTTGTTGGGGGTGAATTCGCAGGACAGTAGCAGCACTCCTTGCTGAAACCTTAGGTTGCAGCTTTATCGAAGCAGACAACTATCATTCTCAGGGCAAGTGTGTGCTGAATTCCCTGACAACAGCAAAGATGAGCAAGGACCAAGGGCATCCACTGTGTGCTGAATAAATCATGCCAAAAACCTTATTTATAAGCCACAGACAAGTGCAGCCGCCAAGCTAGCTCACCTTCCTCCTCACCACCAAGAACGCAAGAACACAGCAAGAGAGGAGGAGATTCAAGAACCGGAGGAATTGATGTCATCTTCGGCTGTGATTCCGCCGCCGTCGCCGGAGAGGAGGGTGCCGATGGTGGCCGACAACGGAGGTGGAGGACATGGGGCGAGATGGTGGCGTCCGTCTCCATCCACTACTTCATCCGCCACATGTGCCGCCACGCCGCCGCCCGGGGCTCGTCGGCCTTCTCCGCCGCGTCGTCGGCGTCTTCCTCTGTTGCGCCGGTGCTTCCCGTCGTGGTGCGTCCCACGTCGGCGGGGCCGTGAGGGAGCAGGTGGAGAAGGCGTCGGCGGAGCACGCGGCGGAGATGGAGCGGCTCAATCTCGGAGCTGCCGCTCTTCACGCTGGTGGTGCTCCCGAAGTCGTCCCGCGCCCGCTGCCGCCATCCCCTGCTTCTCCGCGCCGTCTTCGGCGAGGAAGGCGACTGCCGCCGTCGAACAGAGGGGTAAAGATGGAAACGGTTTTTCTGATTGTATTGCAGCGTCAAACATTTCTAGGGTGAGTTTGAGGGATCAGGGATCGAGAAGATTGAAAAGATACGCAAAACGAGGTGAGCCATTAGCACATGATTAATTGAGTATAAACCATTTTAAATTTCAAAAATAGATTAATATAATTTTTTAAAGTAACTTTCCTATAGAATTTTTTTGCCAAAAACACGTCGTTTAGTAGTTTGGGAAGCGCGTGCGCGGACTACGATGTGCTCTCTCACCCTAACTCACTAGAACGAACACTCCTTTAGACTCCTTTTAAAATGAACTGCAACGTCAAATATTACACGATGAAGGGAGTATTATACACCGACGAAATGATTTTTGCGTTCACTAGGCATGGACGGTCGGCTCAAAGACAAACAAGTTTCTTGAGACTGTGAGAGACCGCATGAGAAAACATAAGACAGACAAGAATTGAACAACTGAACATGTACAAAGACTATATGTTGGTGCCTACACACGATTATTCAACTGATAGGATGCACTAGTCATTAACAACACCAACACATTAGCTACTACTGTACTCTCATCACAACACCACGTACTATCAGGTTTACAGAACCGTATGATTATCTGCGCAATTTTCGAAACCAAAGATATATCTCGTGGTAACTATACGGTTTTCACGGTAACCACTGGATTACTACAATAACCGTTAAACCGTGGGGTGACAATAATCCCACCCAAAACAGTTGGGAGAACCCTAAGTCCTACACGACAATTGATTCAAACCAAACAAGTATACAACACCAACACATTAGCTACTACTAGTCTACTACTGTACTCTCATCCCAGAACCATCACAAAACCACGTACTACCATGTTTACAGAAACCATATGATTATCACACGATTATTATACTTTTCGAAACCACGATATATCTCACGGTAACCACATAGTTACCGTGATAACCACCCAACCATAAGTGACGTTAATCCCACCTAACACGGTTATTTGGGGAACCCTGCGTACTACACGACGATTGATTCAAACCAAACAAGTATACAAAGTTACAAACCCCGATTAGCGCACGCGATTTTAATCACATCACAACAAAATATAATCCCCAAGTGCTTAATCAGCTGAAGAGCTTCTTGACGGCCTGGAACCTAGCGGTCTTGTCGCCGAACTTGGTGCCCTGGTAGTAGTCCAGGTAGTCGCCGTACCTGTACGGCCCGGGGTACGGCGCCGCCGCCGTCGCCGGCGCGATCACGGCGTCGGGCCCGGGGTTGTAGAACGTGGCGACGGACAGGCGGCGGCCCTCGGCGCCGGCGGCGACGCGGTGCACGACGCTCTTGTAGGCGCCGCCGCTGAGCACCTCCACCTGGTCGCCGATGTTGACGAACAGCCGGCCGCGCCGGGTCGGGCCGACGGGGACCCACTCGCGGCCGCCGCGGTGGAACTCGAGCCCGCCGACGGCGTCGTCCTGGAGGAGCAGGATGATGCCGCCGGCGTCGGTGTGGGCGCGGAGGCCCCAGACGAGGTCCGGGCGCGGGCACGGTGGGTACATGGCGAACTTGGTGCCGACGAACGGCGGCGCGAAGGCGTCCACGACGCCGGCGGCGCCGGCGAGGCCCAGGTTGGTGCTGATGCAGCCGGCGAGCAGCTCGGCGAGGGACACCGCCTGCGCGATGTACGCGTCCAGGGACTCCCTCGCCGCCGGCGGGATGTCCGGGAAGTCGGCGGCGGTGTTCTTGGGGCGGTGCTGGATGAAGTAGGTGGCCTCCCAGTCGGCCTGGTCGGCGAGGTCGCCGCCGTCGACGAGGACGTCGCCGTCGTCCTTGTTCAGGTGGAGGTTCTTGGCGAGGTCGGAGGCGTAGAATTTCTTCTCCAGGTGCTCGTCGTAATGGCGGTACACGAAGCTCTTCACCTCCTCCATTAACGCCGCCTCCACGCCATGGTTTTCCACCTGCATTCGTAGCGAGCATTTCACCGAAGCAGAATTAATTTTGCGACAGCCAACATAGAGGTACACATTTGTCAGTTTTCACATTTGAAGAATCAAAATCTGACCAACAGTTTTTTTTAAAAAAAATATAATCTAATTATTTAGCATCAAAGTTGTACTACTACATTTATAATTTCAAGTACTTTGCTAACATGTTACATTTAGACCTGTTCGATTTTGCATTGCTAAAAAAACAGTGGTGCTCAAAACTGTTCCACTCTCAAATAATCTCTGAAGTGTTGTCACGTACCCAGAAGAAGCCCCAGTCCTTACAGGCCTCGTGGAGCTGGGCCATGGTGCGCTCCCTTTCTTCGTCGCCGCCGGCGAGCCCCTTGAGATCAATCACTGGAATCTCCATCTCTCCCAAGGTTGGGTAGCTACTTCTACTTGTACGTACAACTGTCTAGTAGTACTGTACTAGTGCTGATGATGAGCTAACTTGTATGCACTAGGAAGATGATTTGCTTCCGATGAGCGAGTGGCTATGTGGCATGCAGCTGGGCTCCTATTTATAGGAGACAATCAACCATTCTGCCATGCCGGATAGTATAGAAGATTTCTACTAATATTTTTATTCATCCTGAAAATATAGTAATCAGTATTAAACGAGACACATTCGTAATATTATAAATTTGAATAGAATTTTATCTAGATTTATAGAAACAAAGCTGAATAGAAGTTTATCCAGATTCGTAGGATTATCCAATTTTAGATTACTATATTAATCTAAAATTTTTTTAGATTATCCAATTTTACTGTAGTACTCCCTCAGTCTGGAAAAAAATTAATCTATGACGATGCATGTGATCCCTTCTAATACAATAATTCTAAATAACTTTTATTTGTCTTTGTTGTATTAGGAGGGGTCGGTCACATCCCCTCCTAGGGCCTGTTCGGCTGCCCGCGCTGCGGCTGCGCCGGCACAAACAGTGCTTCACACACTGTGCGCAGCCACAGCCGCAGCAATTTGCCTGCCGAACAGGCCCCTAGTTGAAGTATTTTTGAGACGGAGATTCGTTGTACTATGGATCATATCTCGTATCTGGGGGTGTAAAGTTTTGGCGTGTCAAATTGGGTATTATATAGGGCGTCGCATGGGGTGTTCGGGCACTAATAAAAAACTAATTATAGAATCCGTCAGTAAACCACGAGACGAATTTATTAAACCTAATTAATCCGTCATTAGCAAATGTTTACTGTAGCACCACATTGTGAAATCATGGAGGAATTAGACTTAAAAGATTCATCTCGCAAATTAGTCGCAATCTATACAATTTGTTCTTTTTTTAGCCTATATTTAATACTTCATGCAAGTGTTTAAATGTTCGATGTGACAGTGTAAAATTTGTGTGTGGAAACTAAATAGGGCCTAAGTTTTTTTTTTTTTGGACTACTCACTTCGTTCCAAAACATAGTAACTTTTGCTTGGATGTGACGTATCTTAGTACTATGGATTTGGGCAGGAGCTTACTATGGATTTGGGCAGGAGCTTGTCCAGATTCATAGTACTAGGATACGTCCTATCCAAATAAAAGTTGCTATGTTTTTTGATGGAGGAGTAACTAGCATTATCGGTAGCGGTAGTGCATGCACATCAGCTGCACATGCCTTGGACGGTTGGACCGCGATGACCAGTCTAGTATAGTCACCATCTCACCATCCACCAGGCCACTAGCTGGAGGATCGTCCCCGGCCCCGCCGCTTGCTTGGATACACAGGCAGCGACACTTGGGGAATTTCCTGCTGCAGCAAAGGCCGTGACGTTGGAGGTACAAAATGCAACAGTGCTGCTGCAGCCAACTTGCAGCAGCGTCGGCATCGCGAGGATCCCGCGTGGGCGTCCGTGTGGCCGTCCGCGTCGCGTACGTCGAGATCCTCTGCCATACATGTACTACATGTAGATATATGTGGACTCGAGAATAGTACGTGTTAGTAAAAAAAAGAATATCATGAAAAAAACATAATATCAATAAAAAGAAGGGGTAATATTTCGAATTCAGACTGAGGGCCGGTTTGATTTGATTCCAATTTATTACCCTACCAAAATTTTGATAACTTCAATAATAGCATGTGTATGTTTAGTTTGCTATCAAATTCTATCCACAATAATTTAAATTGAATACTACTCAATTTGGTAGTGCTAAAATTTACCAATATTTTGGTAATACCAAGATTTTGGTTGTAAAAGTAGGCTCCAAACCAAATAAACCCTGACTAACCACCCTGTGGAGCTAACCGAAAAATCTCCTTACGTTTCTCAGGTTTATGTGTTAGTGAGCAGCATTGTTAGATGATTTGTATTTATTGAGATCGGGAAGAGTGAAGTAGAAGGTGGAGGAGGCGGTAGAGAAGATCCGGAGCGGGTTAAGCTTTGGCGGTTTTGGTTGCTTGGTTTTGGTTTGGAACAACGGCGCGGAGGTTTGTCCCCCCACCGGTATGGGGATGGAATATATGCATGGAAATGGATCGATGCATGTATAGGATCTATCGTGCTTAGAACCGAATCCAATCACTATAAGAGCAAGTTTAATAATATAGCCCATTATTGACTCCAATTTATTTATAGTCAATCTAGTAGCTTATTCATACAATAGTTACATACTACACTATTAATATCTGGTCCCACCTGTCATACACACGCTGCGTCTTGGAGTCCGTGCTACAGCTGGCTACAAATCTGTAACCCGCTGCCCTTCTGTCTCCTCATTTATCTGCTTAAAATATGTTTACAGATGACTTATAGCCTGCTATTGTACTGCTCTAACAGTAATAGTACTATATCGTTTCTAGTGCGTGAGCATATGATCATCTCAAGTCTCGATCGAGGGAAAGCAGTTAAATCCAAATCCAATGAACTGACCCTGACAATCCGATCTAGGCGAGATATTTTCTGGTGGATCCAATGCAAGCAACCTCAGGTGAAGAAACTAAACTACTCCTATAATCAAGCAATAATGCTGACACGGAAGAATGATTAACCGTAATAACCGGCCGGCCAAGTGTGCAAGTGCAACTACATCGGTATCGATATGATCTCTCTGCATGTGGCAGAGGGACGGATCGATCAGAGATCGAGCGAGTCAGTCAAATACTAGTTTAATATGTGGAGCTGCATATCATATCATGTGGCGCTAACGGCCTGGAGATTGATTTCGCGGTCTCTCGGGGAATTTTGCTTGCGAGTAACACATATTGCGTTCCCGGCCTGTACGCACGGCGCGGCTGCAGCACGTACTCCGGCCTAATGCTAAGGCGCCCACGACTGCAATTCAGTGCAAATGCAACATAGGACGGTCACCCCTCCGTAAATCTTTAGGTGATTTCGTGTTTGCGGAGAAAAGCGATAACAGTACCTATTAACCTTTATAGCCCTTTTATAGGATCGAACATAAATAACCAAGCCTAACAAATTTGGGGTGGGTGATGATAGATTACATCAATGGAAGTCAAATAATCGAATCTTGATAGATCAAAACACATACCAACCTAAAAAAAACCAATGGAACACACGTCTAGCGGTCTATCCGACCTACTAGCGTCGGTCTGACCATAGGTCACTTGGTGGTCTGACCGTCAGCCTAAAAAAACAGTACGACAAACGCTTATGTGAAAACTCAATTTCTCTTAAACCAACAGTTGGATTGACAATGATGATCCAAGTCAGACTTCATTAGCCGTGTCTCGCTCTAGTGTGGGGCTTTAAGCTTTTTGTCTGCAAGGCTCGTCAATCTAGCTCGACTGTGCATCAACAAGATTGGTGGTAGTGAAGTCGGAGCTGCGGCATCGACAGGGCATGATATTTGGCAACGATGACATGAACCCTTTTAAGTTATGCTTTGGCGCGGACTAGGTTGTTGCCTTTGTGTTAGTGTTTCCTGGTGAAGTCGGAGTCACCAGATCGCGAGGGTGATGGTGTGATGATGATAACGTCGCGTCTTTGCCAGTGTGCAGGAGTCTTGTTTTCTTATAGTTTATTGCTTGTTCGTACAGTGCACAACGTTTGATGAGTGTTGTGCTACGCTTTTTTGTTATCACTGCCTTCGTAGTTTAGTTTAATTGGTGGTGTGTTGCTGTAGTAGCATTTTTTTTCTAGTTCTTTTCTAATTAATTGTGTGTTGTAAGGTTTGGTCCTATTTTTTCTCTATGTAAAACGTACCGTTTAAAATGAACCATGACCTTCAAAGACACATTTTCCATGGCAGATGACAATTCCAGTGCCTGGAAGAAGCTCAGCCAATTGCATACTTGTATTGTAAAGCCATGCGTATTTTATATTGTCACGAATAAATGAGGTGAATGATAGAAGGATCTTTTCTAATACGATACTCCCTTCGTTTTGAAATGTATAATACTGTTAGTTTTTTAACCTACGTTTAACCATTCATCTTATTTTAAAAGTTATATAAGTATTATTTGTTTTGCCGTGACTTGTTTTATCGTTAAAGGTACTTCAAGTCTCACCTATATTTGAACATTTCCTTTTAAATAAGACTTGTCGGTGATATGGGTCTGAGGGTATCATATTTAGAGGGAGGAGGCTGCCCCCCAATGCCACGTGGCCCTCCCCCAAGGGGAGTCAGGCCCGACGTGAGGTGGCGGCTACTCTTTCCCAAAGACTAGTCGGAGGAGACTGCCCCCAATGCCTCGTGGCCCTCCCCCGAGGGGGGATCGGGCCCGAGGTCGGGCGGCAGCCGCCCCCTCCCGTGACTAGGGGTCGGGCTCCCCCGACCCCCTCTCTAGGTCACCACGTACGGTGGGTTAGGTGTCCGCTTACAGGTGCCCACCTACCCGCATTTATGGCGACCCAAGCGGTCGCGCCACGCCGCATTTAATGTGGCGTGCAGTGTACTCAACCGGTCTGTGACCGGTCGAATCACCGATGGGACTGGGTAGTGCGCCTGTGCGTACTGCTCGTGTGTCAGGCGGCGTGCAGCCTAACATGTCCCATCAAATAATGATGCACTGGTGGAGAAACCATCTTTGGTCGGTCGCCCGAAATCCACAATAGTCTCGGTTCCACTAAAAACCGGGACTAAAGATGATCTTTAGTCCCGGTTGGTGGCTACAGCGGGCATATTTGATCTTTAGTCTCGGTTGGTGTTACCAACCGGGACTAAAAATGATCTTTAGTCCCGGTTCTAAATCTGTCAAGCCTTGTCAGGCCCCCCGATATCTTTAGTCCCGGTTGATAATATCAACCGGGAATAAAGCGTACGCACCAGCCCACGCACAAGCGCATGCGTAGCCCATCCTTATCTCTTTTTCTTCTCCTTCCTTATCTTCATCCTCTCCCCTTCCTCTTCTCTCACCCCCTCTCCTCCTCCCCTCCCCCTCTTCCTCTTGCAGAGGCAGCCGACGGCGGCGGGATGGGGGATGGGCGCGGGCTGGCAGCGGCCGGCCGGCGGTGGCGGGATGGAGGCGGCCGGGCGCGGGCTGGCGGCAGCCAGGTGCGGGCTGGGGCTGGCGGCGGCCGTCTGGCGGCGGCGGGATTGCGGCCGGGCGCGGGCCAGCGGGATGGAGGACGGGCGGCGGCGGCCCGGCGTGGGCCGGCGGGATGGAGGCCGGTCGCCGGCAGCCTCGCCCTCCCCTCCTCCAGATC